ACAAACCGCGGACACACAAGCACAAGGTGAGTGTAAAGGGAGCCTTGGATTACCTGAGCAGCATTTAGGAGAAGGGCGAAGGGGGAGGGGGGGAGGCAGGGTAGTGTGGGTTGGTTGGTGGCTTGGGCTCGCGTGGGCACTCCCTGAGCTTGCCGCTCACTAGGTACCTGGGAGAGCGCTCGCTACGTGGTGCATCTGAGTGCATCGTGCATCTGGATGCATTCTGTAACCATGTAGGCGTGTAGAGTGGTGAGGTAGTACTGAGGCAGCGGCAGCAATCCCAGATCGCTGGGCTTGCCTAAGGTAAGGCAGGGACTGACTCGGCGCCTCAGCTGGCCCAGCCAGGCGCGCGCCGTCTCTCTCCCCCCCCCGCCGGGCCCAGGGACCGACGCGCTCTACCTGTAGAGGTTTGGGTAGGTACATGTAGACGCCCCCCTTTGCTGGGGAGAAAAAACCACCCCAAGTCCCCATGTTGAAGAGCAGCCGGGTGGATCACTTTTGCGGTCCGTCATTACAATGGTGCAGCATCTAGGTGCATATGCATCCCAAAATTGGGAGTTTTGTCCCGGACTGGGTGTACGAGGTTCACGAGGCCGCCAAAAAGGAAAACCCTCAAAGGGGTGATTCCAAAGAAGTGATTCCAAAGGAGTGATTCCAAAGCGGTGATTCTCACGGGATGGTTTCACAGTACATGTAGGCACAGTCCCGGAGACGGCGGGAGGCAGCGCGCTCACCGAACAAAAAAAAATGTGGTGACGACGACAAAGATGTCGAATATTGGTTTCTTAGTTTTCGGTGATATTAGGTCTCCAGAAAAGTAGATCCCAGTAAGGCGATCGGGGCTGGGTGAGGGAAGAGAGAAGGAGAAAGAGCGTGTGTGTGTGTGACAGAGACGAGGGGCGTGCCTCGTGATTGGAACTGTGACTCCCGAATGTGGGCTTTGTGGCGTCAGGGGTCGTTACTTGGAAGAGCTGGAATAGGTATGGGATTTTTTATTGATTTCGTTTCGATACTTTGCATGACAGACGTGAAAGGTGACACTTTTGCTGCATTTTCTTTTTCTTATGATTCCCGGGTTGGATATGGCATGACTGTGACGAGGAGGTGTTTGGTCATGAGGTAGCATCATTGGATGCG